AAAATTTTAAATTATCACATAAGCAACATTCTCAGTGTCGCGACAAATTTTCGGAAACCCCCAGCATTAAGACATATCCATGTTAAAAATAACAATCTTTAACAATGGTGTTTTTCATTTCGGAGGGGGCCCGGACCCCTCGCCCCCCATAAATACGCCCCTGGGTGTTAATATTGCATTCCAGCATCTATAGTTCGTAACTATGGTTGTGTAATTATACAGACTATAATAAAGAAAAATAAGTATATGAAAATTAATGCAAAAATGTAATCAATGAAGTTAGACTTTCATTTCGACTAGCTATGGATAGCAACAAACAGAAAGCCGGAGATCGCAAACAGAATAATACTAATCGAAAATTAAAAAAATGCTCCACCATGAAAACATTTTCAAAGAAGATAGGTAATTTTTATAAATAAATAAAAAAAAAAATTACATTCGCATCCAATTCAACATTTTAAGATATAATACTATTTTGTAAGATGTAAAATTTTAATCACGATTATCATTATTTTAACCATCTGAACCAAAGTGCACGTTTTAGTAAAACTGATGCGTCTCATAATAAATTATAATACCTACTTAGAATGCGACAGCAATATCATGATTGATTTAAACCGATCTTTTCACCATTTCCAATCAATACAAAGTTTATCTTTCTAATTAATAAAATATTTCAACTCTAAATAATAATGATATTATCAACAGTGCCGGATTACCCATTAGGCGGAGAAGGCGCCCGCCTTATGACCTCACTCATTTAAGGGGCCCCGTGAAAACGAAAAATTATATTTTTTTTTCTATTTAATAATACCTGTATTTCATTTACGAATTTACGGAACAAAAGTCATTATGAAATATAATATATATTAATTTGTAAGTGTTATATGCAGTAATAATAATTAAATTATTTTGAAAAAGATAGAAATAATATAATAATTAATTAATTTTTCTTGCAAATATAAAAATTTAATAAACATGATTTTATTTATGAATAGAGCTCTTAATACACGTGAATTCACGGAATTCACGTGTCACGTGTCACGTGTAAAATCCAAAATAAAAACGTATATCCTTAACTTAATACTGTACTATTAATATTTTATTAAAACTTCAAGTGTATAACATAAAATTACTAATTTTACCATGGTAAAAATGGATATATATTTTGGATAAACATGTATTTTACGTGTACACGTGTTTTAAGAGCTCTATTTATGAATAATAGTCGATTATTTTTAAGACTGTTAATTTTAATTATTGGATAGTAATGTTAAAGATGTACGTAAAAAACAATTTTGTAGGACCTAAAATTTTAATTGCCTAGGGTCCTACAAATGTTTAATCCGGCACTGAATATCAATTATGAATTCCACAATAATTCAGCACTAATTATTGAATATATAATATTCAATATAATAATATATATCCACCTTGAAATGAATTGAACCATGACAATAGTTTTATCAATTTCGACATACATCATCGCAATAGATGTCAACGTATTTAATGTGAGAAGGCACGTGGCAATGAGAGCATTGAGCAGGTAAATAAAAAAAAAAAACTGGAAGAGTTTACACTTTTATTATCTTTTTATCTTAACCGATATTCTAGCGGAGTTTACAATCGCCAATATGGAATATACATTCAGGATTTAGGTTTGGGATAACTGAACACCATAATATTTAAAAATCAAAATCAAGGGGGCCAGTTCGGGGCCACTGATTTTTCTTAGGGGGCCAAACCTCCTAAGGCTCCCCCTCGACGACGTGCCTGCGACTATCGGTCGATAAAAAGTTTTTAGTTTGCACCTTAGGGTGACCGCACACTGGTAAAACAAAACTGCTTTAAAGCGCCTAAAAGCGCTTTATTGTGATTTATGAAAAATAAAACATTTATATTTTATGGAAAACACGCACACTGATAAAGCGCAGTCAAAACAAATCATTTTTGACTTTAGTAATGACTAATATTGCTTTATTGAAATAGAACGTGCGCTATTTTGATTAGTCATAATCAAGCAGTCACTGAATGGTTATATCAAAATGATGCCAACAATTATTTATTTATGCTAAACTATCTACAATATAAAGATAATTATATTATATTTATACATGTACATAATTTTAACATATACTATATACTATACGTATCACCTGAAAAGTTTTAAAAATTAAGTAAATAAGTAGAAGGTACCATATTATGTGTATATTATTTATTTTATTCAATAGGCTTATAAAATGTTTGTTGAGCATGAAATTTACTTCGTGTTATTGTGAGAAAAAAAAATTAAATTAAATTTTTTATTTAGACATGGTATCTCATATAATTGCGTCAACTGGTGGTGATTTTGCACCAATTGCACGTGGACAAGGACGCCCAAGTATACATACTAATGATCGTCAATGGAGAGATGATGATAATGTTGTTGATGATTTTATGTTAAACCTTGATATTACAAACTCAGGTATAAATCCTGACCTATTTGATGTACTAATGCACGGCTCACCGCTTTTTTTTTATATGCTTATAGTAGATAGTAAAATTATAAATAATATAGTAATCGAAACTAATAAATTTGCTGCACAACAAAAAGAAGCTAAATTACAATCACCTTTGTTGCACGTTTAAATAAATGGTATGATACAAATTTAACTGAGATAAAACAATTATTTGGCATTTTAATTTGGACTGGCTTAGTTGCATTACCATCGTATGAACTTTATTGAAGTACTTCTAATATATTTTCTACAAATTTTGGACTTATAATGAGCAGAAATCGATTTGAAATTTTAATGCAAATGCTTCATTTTTCAGATAATACAACTGCTGATACAACAAATCGCTTGTATAAACTTGGCTCAGTAATTGATGATATAATGATTAATTCTAACCACTGCATGCAATCACAAGAAGATTTATGTATAGATGAATCACTTGTAAAATTTATGGGTAGGCTTGCATTTAAGCAATATATTAAAAACAAACGTGACAGATTTGGTGTAAAAGAGTTCAAGCTGTGTGTTCCTCCATGCTTCACAATAGCTTTAAAAATATATGCTGGTAAAAAAGGCTAGCACTGAAACTAGTGTTGGGACAAAAATTGTGATGGAATTAGGAGAACCTTTTTTGGATTCTGGAAGGACATTATATGAAGATAACTGGTATTCTAGTGTTGAGTTAGCTGAACAGTTAAAATCCAGACAAATTCATCTTGTAGGAACTATTAGGTCGAATAGAAAGTCAAATCCTAAAGATGTAGTCCAAAAAAAATTAAAAAAAGGAGAAATAGTATCAAAGAGAAGTGACACTAATATTTTGATTTTAAAATAGAAGGATAAAAGGGATTTGTATATGATATCCACAAAACATACCAGTGAAGTTGTAGAAAATGTTGTAAGAGGTAAAATTGTTAAAAAACCTAAAGTAGTAATAGACTACAATACAGGAAAAACACCCATTGATTTTTCTGATCAAATGTGTTCCTATTCGAACTCTCTTAGGCGTAGCGCTAAGTGGTATAGGAAGGTAGCTTTAGATGCGCTTTTAAACATAGCTGTTGTTAATTCAATGGTATTATTTAACAGAATTACTTCATCAAAAATGTCAATTAACGATTTTCGTACTTCACTTGTCGAACATTTAATTAAAAAATAAACTGTTGATGTTGACAACTCTTTGCAAACTATAAAACACCAATTAGAAGTCGTTGGCAAAAGCAGGTGTTATATATGCTATTCAATTATGTCACAGAATAAAGGAAGAAATTATGCTCAATCACATAGTACAAAAGTACAAACTAAATGTTTAGCGTGTAACAAGTACTACTGTCTTCAGTGTTTTTTCAAAAATCATAAAATCACAAAGTAATTGACAGAAAAACACAATACAAAAGGATTATGTATTTTTATGTTATTTTGATCTAATCATTTTTTATTATGTTTTAAAATATTAAATACACTGTTATTGTTTGTTATTATCATTCTTATTACTTAAGTTTTCTTAGTCTCCGGATTGTTTTTATATATAATGTTATTATTCATCATACAAAATTAAGAAATTTGTTTTTCATATAATTATGTTTTTATCATATAAATGTTTTGTTATAATTATTATACAATTTATAAGAATAAAGGCAACATAAATTGTATGCACATTGTTTTTATTTAATTCCTTTATAACTCAAATAATGTATTTGATGCAATAAATAAATACCTATTTGAGATTGAAGTTTAGTTGAGTAGATTTAACCTCAATTGAAATACTTATTCAAAGTGAGATTTAGTTTGAGATCTCATAGTAATGGTCAAAAAATTAATTTTTATAATAGTGACATCCTACGGCCATGAGATCTAATTTGAGATCTCAATTTATATTAAGTTAAAACGAAAAGGAACATTTTAACAGAACAATTTTAAATATAGGTACAAATTTTAAATGAAATCAGACAATTTTTTTTCCTTAAATTTTTTTTAGTAAACCTACATTAAACCCTGTGGAGGTCAGGACAATGTTTGATGAGGTCTCATATAAGATCTCATGGTGGTCAACGTGTTAAATTCCTTCAGTCAATTTTACTTTACCAGTGTGCAATCAGCCTTAAACCTCGCTAACGGCCGACGAACACAACATGGCGGTTTTCGCTTGGACCGGTTTCACCGGTTATCAGTCGATCGACGTCCGTTATCCGAAGCCATGACGTGATAAAGCCACTCGTGCGATTACGTTTCTTTGTCTACGGGCAAATAACTTACGACCATCATCTGTCGACTGTTCGAATCAAATGGTCTGCGACAACAGATCTGTTCGCCTGCCCGACACACGTCGAATGCCCATTTAAATCGCGTTACGACATTTGCGGCGTACAATCGCGCCCGAACGACACCTCTGTCGGGTCACTTTGTGTTGGAAACTTTCACCTCATCCCCTTGCGTTCGCCACTCACAATGTAAGATATATACGTTTAAGCAGATACCATTCATCTGTCGTACGGGGTTCTCGTCTCGTTTCCATCAGTTCACAATACCCACTGTCACCAACACCAGCTACGTTGTTCATCCGACAACGTTTTCTTCCATTACAGACATGGTAAGTAATTACGATACTATCAACGCAAATCTTTTGCAATATATTGTATTTATTGTACACACTATATGTTTATGATATTGCGTTATTATGTTAACATTTATTGCGGTTAATTTTTTTCCAAGACTTGTGTACTTTTATCCGGTGTTAGATACTTTTAACTACATAGAATATGGTCCATCGCAATTTGTTATACAAAAAATAGGTATACACTATCAGTATTAATACATTTAATAATGTCTAACAAAATGTATACTTGTGTTCCAGTCTATAGCTGAGTTCTTAGATGGTATGCCATCATTTGATGAGCGAAATTTTTCCAGTTTCCATTCGGACAATGGACGAAGTAAACGTGTGCCTGTTTATATATCGACTGAAGATCAACCAAATGACCAAAGTTAGTAGTTATTACACATGATAAAATACATTTATCATATTGCTAAAAGTTTCGTAAGGATACTGTTACTAAGACAAATTCTATGATATCTATCTTCACTAATTAATTATTGATGATTTTATCCTATTATTTAGTATATTAAATAAATTAAATTTATTTGCTTTGATGAAGTATTGAAAAGCTTGTATTTATAGTTTTTTTAATTTACTATACATTTTAGGTAAATAAAGGTTTTTATTATATATATATATTTTAATAAACATTGTTAATGAATAAATAATTCTTCATAAATTGTATGATTGATTTTCTTTTTAACTATTTCTATGTGGTATCTACTTAAAATTTTAATAAAAACAGTATTTGAATAGTACATTTTATATTAAGACTAATATATTAATTGTATGCATCTAAAATTTGTTTTATCTCAATAATAATTTAATATATTTGTCTAATTAGTGTTATTTTCATTTCATAGTTATTGTTACCGACAAGTCAAATTTATTACTCCGGTATTTACACAATCAATGGGATAAAAAGGTAATGCAAAATATAAATATAATTTAATCATTTGGTGATATGACCTGCACTAAAAATTAAATAAATGTATCTAATTATTTTTTTCTCCTTCACCTTTCTTGACCATCTTTGTCCTACACCTCCACTCATTTCAATTTTCTACATCCCCTATGCACACACCATTACAGTATATATATATATATATATATATATATATATATATGTTAAAATTACAATGAAAAATACATTAAAATTACATAATAAAATCATATCAGAAATAATAATTTGTATATTTTATCATGTATAGTATACAAAAATTGCAAATTCGTTGAAAATTGCAAAAAATTGCATTATTAAATTAAATAGGAAGACTAATAAATCCGATTCGTATACATATTTGATCAAATTTGATTTACCTGGTATCAATAAAAAGTTACAATATCTATTAAATCCTGTCTTTAGTTATGACCTATAAAATATAATAAAAACAAACCATTCAATTAGACTGTACTACATTATACTTAGCAGCTCACTATATCTAGTAATATATGAATACAATCTAAGAATTTTTAACAGATTTTGTGTTTTGTTGTTGAATTATAATAATATTAAATAACTTAATAATATTTTTTATTTTTTCTTACATTTTCATCTCTTTATATTTTTATAAAACCTGTTATGATCAAATTAATTTTAATAAAATGTGTTTGCTTTATTGTTTTAGCATGGAGGTAAGAAGAGAGAATTAGTTGATTCTACCGAAGAAGGAGGCTCAACATCAAGAAAACGTGCAAGATTAGACTTAGGTAGGAATGAGCAAAGATTTTTGAACATCGATTTTTGATATATCGATACATCAAAATTTGAAACATTAATTCTCACAATGAATAATATTGATAATCATAAAAATCAATGTACAAACGAAAAACATTGATGTTTACCAATATTTTCATACAGTAAATTTTACCTTAAAAGCTGTAATTTTAGTGTGCGGTGGAAGTTTTAATCGTTATATTGTGCTAATTACAAAAATAATTTTTAGTTATTTTTGTAATTTTTTAGCTACCATTAAATGGTAATTAAATGGGTAAATCTCAAATATAAAATTATTTATTTCGATAATTATAGATTGAAAATTGTTTTTATTTATTTTTTATAAATCATTAGTAACACACAATTAGTAGTACATATTGTTGCGTCCTGCGTAGTCACACACTAGATCAATTGGGCGAATTTCAACTATTTAGTGTCATAGATTTAACATCGGGATTTTATCAAATACCGCTTGCTGAATCATCTCGCGAATTAACAGCATTTTCGATGAATCAAGGTCAATGGCATTTTAAAAGAATGGCAATGGGCATGAAAACGTCAACAGCCACATTTCAGAGATTAATGAATAATGTATTATCGGGATTAATCGGAATAAAATGTTTAGTATATTTGGACGACATAATCGTATATGGAAAAGACTTAAAAGATCATAATCATAAATTAATGGAGGTATTCGAACGTTTAAGAGAACAAAATTTAAAAATACAACCGGATAAATGCGAATTTTTAACCCAAGAATGCGTATACTTAAGTCAATGTGCCACAGTCTAGACAAATATAGACCAGTCAAGATGCAAGGGAGACCAATTATATTAACAAGAGACAATAAGGTGAGGATGTTTAACAAAAAGAGTTTGAACACCTTAAAACAGTATTTGAAAGGAATTTTCTGAAAGAAACCGGATGTGTTGAAACCTTTATTGGTGCAGATTAATATTAGTATCAAACACCAGGGGGTAACAAGTCTCGGATCGGTATTCATGTCAAAATACTTGTTTTTTGATAACACCCAAGCAATTATTGTCACCTGGAGTGGAGCAATGGATGTTAAAATATTTATAAAACTAAGAATACCAGGGATTAAGAGATTTATAGACATAATTACATATAGCGATAATAATGATAATATTTTTAGTTTAAAATTAATAGACAATAGCAACAACAAATTGTTATACTCAGAGAGCATAGGACATGTGCAAGAGAATGGAAGGATGTTAAATTTGAAAGAGCAAATGACATTTTGTGTGAAAGGAAACACGAAGTGACGTATTGTCATGATCTCATGACGGATGTTATATATACAAAGTGTATTTTCAATTATTTAATAAAAAAAAATAAAACCCCATAAATTATTTTAAATATTTAATAGAATGTAACAATACATAAATTAATCTAAAAAAAAAAAAAAAAAAAAAATAATAATAACGAATACTCTATGCTTTTAACATAAAAAATTATTACAGAGAAGGTAGGAAGTAGGAACGGTAACAATAATTCATTATCAAAGACCTCCGAGTATATATTATGATAATTATGAAATCAAAGAAAAATTGATAAAGGAAGCGCGTATAAAACTTAAATGGTTTAAGGATTCATATCCAAACGAACAAAAAGAGTTGGAAGAGGAATGGGAAAATTACATAAATTCATTGAAAACATTAGAACCTTATGTAGCAGAAGAAGAATGGTAGAATATATATTTAAAAAAAAATAATAATTCTGGATAAGTTCTCAGAAATAATGCACCTATTTGAATATATTATGTAAAAGCACTAATAATACTAACCAATATATATATGTATCAAAAAAAAAAATTAATGAAAAAAAAAATAAATGATAAAAAAAAATGTAATAATAACCACTATTATATATAATAAAAAAAAAATGTAATTCAAGTCATATGTAACACTAACCTATTTAAACTAACACTAAATTATATAAATCACATTTATATTATATTATAAAATTTTAAGTCCATTTAAAATTACTGTTAAATTATAAACCTGTAATAATATCTTTGTATTGTAAACAATTCTGTTAACATTGTAAAATCTTTGTAATAATTGTAAAATTGTAAACCGCTGTAATCATTGTAAAATTGTAAACTTGTAACTAATTATAAAACTATAACTATAAGGAATTAATTTCTGTTTTGCAAACAAATTAATTTTTTAGGTGGGGATGTGTCGCGTTCTGCGTAGTCACACATGAACACTTACATAACAAGTATTTTTATATATATTTATATTTAAATACCTCATTCACCTAAATGTATGGATTTAATATATAGAAATTTATTTAAATCAATTTAGGTGTCTGAACTATCACGCTTGGTAAGAAGCACAATTCAATGTACTACTCATGTTATTTTGTGATTTTTGTTTGAAGATACATTTTTGCAAAACTACAGTTATAAAGGACAAAAAAATAAGAAAGTCTTCTCTATTTTGGTTTTTTGTTCAACAATTTGTGGTAAATAATGTAGACTCCTATTTAATTCTAATATTAATGAAAATTTTTCTTTAGAGGACGCTATACTCGCATATGTTATCTCCGTCAAACATAGTATTAATACTTATTAATATTTTATACAAAAATAACGTTTATTATGATGAAATTAAAATAACTATACTAGGTATATTAAATTATATTTCTTACATTAAGTGTAATCTGAATTATTTATTCTGTAATTATAATAGTTGTTTTACAAGTTATCAATAAAATTAATTTGTATAATTTATTTATTTTATTTTAAAAGTATAAATATTTTAATCAAAATTGTATAATATATTATCTAACAAATCAATCATAAAAGCAGAAAATCTGAGATATATTTTTTTTAAGTACAAGAAAATAAAATATTCCTTATATTCAAGTTAAAATGTTATGATATTAAAATATATACTTTTGTACTTACCTTTTTATCAGTCTTAATAATATTTTCTGTTAAATCTTACTCCTTTGTTTTACTCTGATAAAATTAGGATATGACTAGTGAGGATTTTACATTATCGTAATAAAATTAATAATTATGTTATAAATTGATTTCAGAATCCATATAGAATATAAGTAAATTTCATAACTGTAATACATTTGAAGTGGTGCAGTCAATAAAAGTATTTATTGTTTGAGCGAAATTTTATGAACAATCAAAGAATCAACAACAAAAATTATTATAATATGGTAAAAGGTTGTTTTTGAATTGAAATTGAACAATAAAAAAAAATGAGATTGTTTATTTTGTATCATTTTTGTATTTTATAAATTATATCTTCATGAACATTGGTCATAGTATTATTTGTATCTCTGACATAAATAATAGCTGGAAATAATTATAATGGAATAAATAATAACTAAAGGAAAAAGCTTCTAACAGCTTTGGCCATTATGTTATAAGACATAATATATTAATTATATTTTTATGGGAACCCCAAAGTATACTCTCATATAGAAGATGTAATTTACTGGAATGGCTGGGACATGATTGGAGAACATATAAGGATGTATTAAAAAATGTTCTAATAGGAAAAATAAACAAAAAAAAAAAAAACTGCTGAGCAAACTATGAACCAGACAGAAAGGATACATTAAATATTGTAATATGCATATATTACTAAGAAATAATAATACGCATATTCCTGAGTCAATAAAGAAAAACGTACCAAGAATAACTTTACACACATAAACTTTAATGAGTGCCACGTGCGAATTACAAATCACAAAAACATCCGCAAACAACACCACGTTCGAATAAGACAGTAAAGACCAAGGATAACCACGGACGAAACATCATTTGAATATGACGATCAAGATCAAGGACAACCACGTGCCGAAAACAACAATCAAAACAGAATCAAACAGAGTATATAAAGGCTCCGTTTCACCACCAACGGCAGACGTGTCTAGAGCTATCAGTACAAGCCCTTCTGAGTTTCGTCTTTGATATTGTTAGCGCGCAAATTTATAATTTGTATCTGTATCTGTATCTGTAATTGTATTTGTATTTATTAAAAGTGTTTACAAGTGTTTAAATTAATTATTTAATCAATTTATCCTGATCCAGCGCCATCATTACGATAGGTACCTGTTTTTATTGGGTACCCCGTAACAATATAAAAAAATATGAGATTGGTAAATTAAAATACAATTATAGAGTTGAATTTAAGTAGAGAAAAATGAAAAGGCTTAAAATGACAGCACATGTCCTCAATGGATTGTAAAGCTGTTGATGATATATTTTTAGTGGTACAATAAGTTGTGTGTATGTGCTTAATAATTTAAAAACCATCCAAAAACTGGCAAAAATAACATGCTTATAAAGTGTGTAAGGGTATATTGCACAGACATCTATATTATACTAGATAAGTTACTCGTGACGTTGCACATAGGAAATAGTGAAGCCAGATTTTAAGCGCTTATCACCTGTCCACCACATGCCTGATTGGTAAAACATTTAAATTTACTATACAGGAACGAGTAAAATATACTACACATATTTGATACTTCCTTTCATTACTCACAAGTTAGTAACTTTAAATTTTATATCTGATTCTGACAGCGTATTATGTATTTTTTTTTGCAAACAAAAAAGAGATAGGTAACATTTTATTTTTATTTGTAATTTGTGTATTTTGTAAAGCAACAGATTTCTCCATCAATCCATGGAATATTATCCGATGTAATATCATAGCTACGATAAAATATTTTAAATATTTTATTTATAAGCAATATTATTCATACCAATACAGCTTTAAACTATTCAAAGATCCGTCATGCGTTTGGATGTATATATTGAATTATTTGAGTAAATAAAACAGAAAATATGTAATCTGCGTACAGATTAGAAAATTTTTTTCTGAGTTTAAATTAAGTAAATAAAAAAATGTCATCGACTAGGTACTATTTAACAACTTAATTTGGGTGGTTAAACTTTAGAGGTGTTCCATTAAAACAAAAAAATAATAAGTTATTTTGATTTAAAATAAAATATTTTTGCAACTCACGTAACCTGTGATATATATTACAATAGTTATAATTTTTTAGGGTCTAAAATAATGCGCCATGGAAGTAATATGAAAGTCAACTCGTGATACCGTCGATTCAAAACTGAAAAAATAAAAAATGGTCTAAAATAATAGAGGAAAAATCTATAGAATGTTGCCAATTTATGATCCTATTTTTATCGACAGCTGAGAATCGAAAGATCTTATCTCAAAATGTTGAATATTTTAGGTAATTTTTTTTTTCTTAAATGCCAAACAATTTTTATTACATTTTTTTTTAAATCGTGTATTGTTATGATTAACAGATATTTGCAATGAGACGTGAATTTTGAGAGATTTTAGATATTCACTTTCAAAATAATTTTTATCAGATTGATTTTCAAAATGAGATTTATTCAAAATTCAAAATTTTTATAATATGATTGGAACTCTCTCCCTCATTGAGAATATGTTATAACATAGCCCTAGCCCACAAGCTAAATTAATTATAAACATTTAGAATTTAAACATACATAATCAACTCAATTTATTTACTTAATTATTAAAGATTAATTAATTAATTTTAAGATTAAAAAAAAAAAATTGTGTAAAAAAATTAAATTTAAATTAAATGAATACACAGACAAATATAATCACAATAAATTCGTAAGTTATAACAATTATTTTTAACAATTTGACTCGGGAATGGTATTGCCATAGAACATATGAAATATATTCATATATTCTGTGATATTGCCTCTGCAGTCTGATCACAGTTCTGTGTAATCTCCTCAGAATACACATGTGATTTGGACGGGTGTGGTGGTCAAACATTCCGACCACAACAAACACAAAGAGAGAGCAGATGACGGCAATTTGGTAGTCCTCCGATCCAATGAGCTTACACAAGTAGACACGTTGGTAAAACGAGTTTACACTACCCGTTCGAATAAATCCCGTTTCCAGTAACGTCGAAGAAGTTTGGAATTATAAAAAGTAAGTCAAGGTGCTTTTTAACTTCAAACGTTACACCTCGTTTATTAATATTAATAATTATTTCAGTTGTAATAATAATCACGGTGTGGAGCGCAATAGCGCAAAAATATAAAATAACATCACCACTTGCTTATTACATGCTTTTTCATCTTTAAATAATGTTTCATAATAACTCTGATTACATAGATATGATTTGTTAACTGTTTTTATAAACTTAGAATGTAAATTGTCTTGAAATAAAAATAGATAATTTATTTATTAATTTATTAATTTATCATTTGTTTTTTATTTGATAAATCGACCGTTTTTCGTAAGTTCAGTGGTTCTACGTTTGGGAGTTTTGACAAGAGCCGACTACAGATAGTAGGCATATTCCATCGCAGATGATAATTTATATTGCATGTGGTTTTCAGGTGGTCTTACAACACATTCTGAGTACTCAACCGAAAAACGGACGATTGGCGCGTGACAATCGCGGCCTATTTTTCATGCTATAATAATTTTAATTTTACCTAATTAAAGCGATTATACGACGGCGGTAGAAAGATATCACGGCTCTTGACGCTTTTATCGTGTTGTGTGGTGCGATAAATATTTTGAACCTAACGATTAAAGCGAAGAAAGTAAAATTATGTTAAATTTATTAGAATCATATTGAAGTATAACGAATGCCTGTGTAAGACCTCTCTTTTTAATATTCGAATGAAAAACAAACACATCGATTTCAAAATTTGAGTCGTATTAAAATATTTAAATTATTCGGAAATATTTTTGGAGTATAAATTTAAATATTTTCTAGATAAAAATGCCCGTGATATTAGATAAACGTCAAACTATTAAAGATATTTTGTCCTCTAATGATGCATTTAGTTTATCCGATGAATATTCCTCTGCGGACGAATCCGATTCATTTGATGATTCAAAATATAAATTGAATGATCGACAAAAGCTTATTGTGGAGTGGATGGTTAACTGCGAAAGAGAAAAGCCTCATGGCGGTATTATAGGTAAATAAACCAATTTTACCCAATTGCCTATAGTATTTCTAGTGATTTATTTGCTTTTCAATATTAAACAGCCACTGATACGAGTTTTGTAAACGATAAACTCGCAATAATAATGGGTTTATTTTTCAAGTCGAAGCCACATTATTTAGATGAGACTATGCCCGATGAAGACATTGATTCGGACGGAAATACTTTAGAAAAGGGTTGTACTTTAATTTTGTGCTGTAAATCGAGTTGGAGTCAGTGGGTCAGATGTATCAAGAATACAATATCCTCTGATGTACTAAACGTGTGCATACACTACGGAAAACATCGAGATGTGTCGTTTGAAAAGTGATTATTTTTATTATAATAAAAGCGCAAATCGCGTATTCGTGTGATGACCGTGAGATACTACGGATTATAACTTCCAGTCCATACGATTATTAGAATAATTTATTTTACTTCCACGTACGACAATGTTTAAATAAATAAATGTAACATGTGTCTATGCTGAATGATTAAAATACTGCGACTTAAAATTCGTTCGAGCTACGGAACATCAGAAAATACAAATCGAAATAGCGCATAACAAATCACAACATTTTTCACCTCTTGTGATTTATTAATTTAGTGTATCGATTTTGATTTAGAGATAACCGAATCGCAATTACCGGCAATTGTTGGTAGTCGCAATAATCGCTAAGCACTCAACTTTATAATAACTAACTATATGTTTAATTGGTTTTTCTTTGAAGAAAATTAACTTATATCGTACCTTTTTGGGCTAGTCCATAGTCATAAAAGCATAACATTTGATTAAATAAATGCAAATTAAATTATAAATATATAATAAATATTATAATAACTTTTATTTTTAAAATTTCAGTTTAAGTCAAAGAGACATTGTGATAACAACAGTTGGAATAGCTCGATTAGGTTTCGGCCAAAAAAACAAAGTAAGCATAAAACGAATTACTAAAACATTTGATAAATTAATGTAATTTTTAAAAATAAAAGTACCTACCATGTGCACCTTCAGATTTATACTAACCTGATTAACCTAACGCAATTGATCAGTGATCAGTGCTGTAGTGGAGAGTATACGGCGGTATACGCCGTATACTTTCTGGTTATTTCTAATAAACTCCGAATATCTTCAGATTAAGGTCGTATATTCTCTGTTGTAGTGAAATTATATATATTGGGCGATTGACGGGCATGTACTGTAGATTAGATAATATAACAATCAAATAACTGTATAATATATGATAAAAATAAAATGTTCAGCTGTCGCATAATACTGTGTAGTGTATGCATTCGTTCATTTTTCATTTTGCCGTTGACAGTGATTCGTATATCATATCTGTGTATTAGTTATGTCCAGTCGATCAATAAAAAGGTATGTGTTTATTTTATTTGCAAATCTATTTTAATAAGCAGTTATAATATGAATAGTTGGTTAAAAACGGGAAGTTTATTAGAAAGAAAAAGGAAAGACTATTATGCGTTTTAGCTACTTGATATGATACCTAATGATAGTATAAATGTTTAATATTATAACTCATAGTATACCCTCTGTCTTTTTTAGGACTACAGCACTGTTGAGCACTGTTATTTTTCATTAAACTTAATGGGGATGAAAACTGTAGAGACCCAGTTATATCTATAATAATAATTATTATAAATTATTATGAATTATTTATAATGGCATTTCATTATTAAATAGTATAGATACGATATTTTGGACATTTCTACACGATTCCAATGTGTCGTACATTATACATTACAAATGTATAATGAAATAAAAATATCTTATAATTTTATATAGGTTCAGGGTTTAAGATAATTTAACAATATTTCAATATAATAAAGAGATCATAAAATCACCTATAATGAAGGGTAATCCACTAAGGACTAAATAATATTACTTATTTTTTTATTTCCCATATTAATATCTAATTAAGTATTTTTTATTTTATTAATTAAATATTGCAATGCTATTTTTATGATAAAGTTCTTGAAAATTCTAGTTATATGTAGAAACCAACTTTTTAATATTATTCTAAATTAATGAATATCACGTTTCACAATAAAAATAAATGAAACATTATTTAAAAAAAAACATGTAATAATTTTTAACAAATATTTGTTTTAGAACCCTTTGTTTAATATAAAATGGGATCGTATAATATTAGACGATTCAAATTGTACACATTATGATTATAAACTGCAGACATCCAGAGCTATATGTCAGTTAAAAGGAGTTTGTCATTGGGCATTTATTGGTTCAAATAATATTGACGATATTGATGTTAAATACACATTTAGTTTAATCAAATTCATAAATTATGAACGTTTTTACAATTTTGAAGTAAGTAATGAGGTGTATTGCGATATTAAAACGGAAATAAAATTGATTGTGATATTGAAAATTGTGTTTCAGATATGGAAAAAATGGCTTGAAAATAATCCAACAGTACTGATGAAAGATATGTTTTCCTATATTGTCTATAGTGAAAAAATGTGTTAAGAATATAAACTATATGGGTTATATGCTAAATGTTATTGAATTTAAATTGTTCGTAAATTATACATTATATATTTCAACGATTATACTCGATTAGTCAAAATATGTGTTTAAGAATAATTTATTTTTATTTTTGTGTTTCTTTGGATCAGATGTGTTAAATGTAAATTTATCTAAATTTTTTGTAGTTTATACTTTATTTACTTCAATAGTTATACTCAATTCAAAATATTTGTTTGGAAATTATTTGTTTTTGATTAGATTTAAAATAAAATCCTTTATTTATTTATTAATTATTTATTTTCATTAAACTATTTTTTAAGTTTAATATCAATTCTATAGCAATCTATGTACAGTTAGATGTACTCATATTTATTACAACTGATAGGTTTTAAAATTAATAATAATTTATTTATCATTAATTTTGAATATGTAATACGTAAATAACTAATAAATTATAATAATAAATATATTTTAAAAATATTTGTTTTATTTAATAAAATATGTTTTTGTTAAAAAAACTGGATTGGTGTACTGAGCACTGTAATTTATCTATACGCTTTTTTCAATGATTCCGGTTTTCGGATTCAGATTTTAGGTAGGTACGTACATTTCTACACGAACGAAGTAAACGTTTAATGGCTGAAAAATCAGATAATGATAAAATAAAAGACCTTTGAATTAGGTTACACTTGTAAAGCAAGGTTTTGGGTTTCTGTTCACAGAGCCGTCCTAAGGATTCTTAGGGACTGAGAAAAATTAAGAGTGATTCGGAGGCCCCTAACTCATCACAATAATATATGAGTATGATAAAAAAATACACACTAAGTTTGCAACATTTTGGTAAATATACGAGTAGTTTTCCCAACCTCATTCAATCAATGTCATTTAAATGCATCAATGAATTACTAGTTACCAATATTAATTAAAATTTAATTTATTCCTGGATAATTAATAAACAGACGGAAAATAAGAACTTGAACGTTGTCACCTCGATACTTAAGATATCAAATTTCTATGAACATTTAAACGATGTTATGTCATTCTTCACACTCTGGCAATAACCATAATAAATTACAGTTATAATTAATTAAAAATTAAAATAACTTGAAATTTAGACTGTATAATAGCGCTTAAATATAAATTTAAGTTAATTTTATTTAATTAAATGTATTGATAAAGAAAAATAGTTTAGAAATAATATATTAATATCAACAACCTTTAATGAATAATGCCGAGTGTTTCTAATAAATCTGGACTTTAAGGGCAGGGACGGATAGGGCCATAGGGACATCGGGGTTTTCCCGGTGGGCCGCTGCTTATATTGACGAAAATGGGCCGATAAAAATATTACTATTAATACTATTATACATGTACATATATACAAACGAAAGTAAATAATTATCATACTAATAATATATATTTAAATCTAGCTTAAATCTATCAATATCATAGTAAATTCCTTTAAAATGAAGAAGAAAAAAAATATTTACAGTAGAGTTACATAATTTTAAATGTAATTTTTTTATGTGTTCTTTTTATTGAATGATCAAAAACTAAAAATTAAATTTTATTCAAAATTTCGAGTGCAAATTTATTTTCTTTAATGCATATTTTAACATATTAGTGCATAAGTATATTATACTTGTGTATGTTAAAGATCTTTTAGCGCATATTTGATTGGTTTTTAATGCATATAATTCCAGGCTATAATGATAACTGATTGTTCAGATTTAAATTATCATATTTAGTCACTAATAAAATCCCATGACAAAATTGTTTTCTGGTATATCATGTTTTTTTCACAATAATTATACGCGAACCATGTAAATAGTATAATATTGCTAAAATTTTTTATAACTAGTTATGCTTCAAAATGAATTAAAAAGAAAAGGAGGTGCAAAAAATAAAAGATATAAAAATCGTAGAGTTATTAGAAGAGAGTAAAAGATGTGTAAAATTGGATACTATAATATGTATTAAAATTTTAAATATTGTTCAAGAACGAAAAAAAAGGTGGTGATTGCCGGGTTGGTTCTCTTTAAGTTGAGTTAATTGTTTAGTTGGAACTTGGATAATCATGCGGGCTGCTGTATTCTATTTTTCCCGGGCTGGTCAGATTATGCCTATCCACCCCTGTTTAAGGGGGGCCTTACACTTATTTATATCCGACACTAAACAAGTACAACAGTACATGTTTTATCATGTATTATTTATATTTACATGTTTTATCCGTGTGAAGTTGTTAGAAGTAATACAGTAAAGAACAATTATATCTATTCGATAATACACAACTGTTATGGACAATTACAAAACAGACGTTCGTTCAATAAATTGGATAGCGAATGACAGTGGGAATTAAACGAAAAGTAATCGAAAAATTGATTATGTATTAATCAATCGCAAATAGTGAAAACAATTGTACAATTGTTTGAAATATATTACACTTCACCGAATATAATTTAGAATAATTTAATAATGAATATAATTTATACAAAAAGTGTACATAATATATTTAACATATATAACAAACGTAATATTGAGTTATTGCGGTAAATACTCGCACAACAGGTATTGAGAACCTTGAATACATAAGCATTTATTCTATTGAAAATATAATTAATTAATTTTTCTACCATTTGTTGGATCAATAATGTCAACTGCTTTGCTCTTCCTAGTATGTACACCGGGAAGTGTCACGCCATCAGTATTCTCAAACCCAGTCGTGGAGCAGGACGGAACCAATCCACCATCGTACGGAGAAATATCACCGTAGTACGAAGAACTATCATTATTTAACGATAAATCATTCAGTTTGTGTAAAAAGTTATCGCCACTACCATTGATCACAAGATTTCGTGACGCTCTTGTGAAAGATCTCTAAATAATAATAATAATATAATAAACTTTGGTTAAAATGTTAAGGTAACATAATGAATTAAATAATCGGTTCGTATACATTTTTTATGGATATTAGTGGTTAAAACCACACCTTAAAATTTTTTTTCACAGAAATTCTACTAAAATCTAAAATTTTAAAAATTATCACCCTGCGGGGTGTTTATTGAAAAATGTTACTAAATTAATATACCCGTGTACCACCATCACGACTATAAAGAGCGTAACCATAATATAATAATCTTTATATTACTAAGTCATTATCAAGTCTAAACATACCTGAGGACCGCCATATTGTTTGATGACAAAACAATTGAAATTGGGTTTTTCTAACTCGCTTTCAATATAATCTGTAACACACAATTCCAATTCAAATAATCATAAAAAATGAATAATGCACTAATACGCTTCAACTTAAATTTAAAACGATTAAGAATAAATATATTTTTTTATTGTAATATTGTATTATCTTTTGTAAACATTTTTGAATATTTACACTTTCGTAAAATTGAAGTTGATGTATTTTTAACTCTTAAAATAATGAAAAACAAAAATCGACTAAATATAATCTGTTATAAACATTAGGTACTTGAATATATTTCGATTTAATGGTAAATTTACAATCCAATTAAATTAACTTTGTTTTATTCCAAAAATATAATTACTCATCCGAACTTGGATTAAGTCATTTTAGATACCAGAGCAAATTGTCCAAGAAGCTCCACTAAACACTAATACTGATAGTTAATTTTTAAACTGTTTTGATTTCTTTTACTATAGAAAATTGTTCTAGTATTATTATTATTATTATTATTATTTTAATATATCGGTTTAAAAAAATTTCCGCTATTTTCTGTATTTAAATGAACGAAAAAATCATCTGTAATTTTACGATAAGCTACACAATTACGTGTTATGAGTGGCCTATTCAATTTTTCACCGATGTAGTTCTTCTGATCCGTACTTAGTACAAAAAATATTCATATTAACAATATGACTAATTTTTCCAACAAATTATTTGATTTTATAAAATGAATTTATAATATACACATATAATTATTTATTTATTAAATAAAATATAGCTTTAAAATTGCCGCTTTAAATTTGACCAGCAAAGGCAACTTCTCCTTTTTCTGGCCTTATGTTGACTGTAATATTAAAAACCGTATTTAATAATAAAGTTATAAATAATGTTAAACCATGATATTTTAAATATAACATTAAATGAAAAATTTTTATTTCCCAAATGTCTATACTGTGATAATATAAAAAATCATAATGCTAAGAAATATTGGGTGATATATTTTATAAAAAATGATTTTAATATTTTTGATTTATTAAATTTTTCACTGCTTTAAAAGTTACTGCACAAAATCTCAAGTCCCTAGAAAATCTCAAGTTTTTAGGCCCCCATCATAATCCAGATTCGTGCTTACTAGAATATATTTTACATGATTTTCCAACATTTTTTTCCACTAATATTTAGTTACATAAATATTTAATATTAATGGATTAAAATATGCATACGATTGATGCAAAAAAAAAAATAAAATAAAATAAAATTAATCTATCGTTTTTATAATGAAAATTATAAGATCATTAAGAAATTCGGATAGATTAACCTCCACTCTTAAGTACGAGTCTGAGGAGTAATGATTTTAAATAATAATTCTAAATAAAATAAGTATTATTAAGGTACTATATTCTTAAAATTAAAACTATTTTAAATGTTAATACACGTATGTATAATGAATCTTAAGTTTAAATCTTGATATATTTTGATATATTCATAGGGTAAGTAAGAAATTTGGTAAATCTCCAAATTCCAAAAAAAAAAAAACTCTATTAGAATATTTGCAAGTACAAAAAAAAATTTACTGAGAATAAAAATAAACCTCTGCCTACTATTTTATTCTTATACTCTCACTCTCACGTAATATTTCTGAATCCATAACAGCTACTCAGAACTCCATCCCATTAAAATGTTTTTACATAAATAACAATATTAAATAAACAATTTATTATGTATTATAAAATAGAAATGTACTTTACCATTAAGTTGTTTTAGGAGCGATTTAAGGTCTACACCACTCATTTTTATTCCTTTCTTGAAACTGAATCTTTTTTTTTAACGTAGATTCAATTATATTGCTAGGATTATGATATAAAGATACAATGATTTGTAAGAAGTAAAATGCAAATACATTCGACTTGGGTCGGATGATATTATTCACATAATCAATATACT